AGGCGGGGCTTGAATATCTCCCGAGAAGGGGACTCCACAACCTCCCTGGGCAGCCTGTTCCAGTGCTCCGTCACCCTCAGAGGGAATGAATAATTCGGAGATGAACAGCCCTGAGGTGCTGGTGAAATGGGAAGGTAATTAGAGGAAAATGAGCAGATGGGAGGTGAGAGGTAGATGAATAGAGTCACACGATGTGATCTGATTGATTGGCTGCAGTGTGTCACTCTGAGAGCTTGAAGCCTCCTGCACTTGGGGAAAAAAACATGCCACTGTCCTCCTTCCTCCACAAAACTTCCCAAAGGAAGCCCAGCACAAATGTAACATGTCCTTGCTCCTGTGAGCTGTCAGCATTGCTGTGATGCAAAGCATAAAATGAGGGATCAGAAAATTAGAAGATGTCTTATAAGGCAAGAATGCCATGATAAGCTGGCAGTTACTGTGAGCTCAGTGCAGGATTTTGATATTTTAGTTTTTATGGGAAACAAAACTGATACCCAATAGACATCAACTCCTGTGAGCTGATTCACTCCAGCTGTACTCTGAAAAGAGCCTTCCGAAACCAGTGCAGCTAGAAGGCCTGCATCCAGTCTTCTTACATGCTTTTTGACTGAATTTGAGAGAGTTGCATTAAAATGACCACACACATAAAGCCATCTGCTCTCTTAGATATTGATGCACATACCTATGCAGTGCTGTCATTTGAAATATATGGCCGACCAGCTGGAGAAACAGCTGCATAGTGTTGATTTTCCAGATTTCCAAATATACTTGCTGCACAGTAAAACAACCATGGGGGGTTTGATTGACACCTTAAATGGAGCACACTCAAATGGTACCTAGGCTTCAGAAGTGAGGCTGAGAATTCATTTCTCTTTCCATTTTCGTTTTGCTTTCCTAAGCAAGGTTACCTAGCCTTAGAAACTAGGCTAGGAAAGTCTATGGGCATTGACTTGTCTGTTAATTACTTCAGACTTAGGTCCAAGCCCATGGTGACCACGTTGTACTATTACAGAAGCTAAGCCTGCTGTATGTATCACGTTCAAGAAAGACAGGCATGGGGTCTGCCAGCTCAGGGTCATACACAGTGACCTTATCTGTTTGATACGAAGAACTGTCTACTTGTATTAAAATTTAACTTAACCAAATCCTCCACAACCAAGCATCTTCCACATTGGTTACTGAGAATTTTTAGCTGAGAAAGGAGGAAAACCAGAAGGCTTTGAATTCATATACACTCATTTATAGTTTCAAAGTTGCAGCACATGCAAGACATGCCATGTTTCAGGTGAGTATTGAAGATAATATAGCGTGAGGTAGCCATGGCTATGATGTGTAGGAAACACTGCCTTGTAAATCATGGAACCTGTTGCCTTTGGCGGTAACAGATGAGAACACCTCAGAACAGGGACCTAAATGTAGGTAACCCATGAATCATATGATATGACCTTGTTTACAACAGGTCAGATGCATTGCACCCAGAGAATGTCTCTCTGCCATTTATAGCACAGAGTGACCATAGAAGTCTGATGGCGAGATGAATCACAGCAGAAGTGGCTAAAATGTAGTGATATAAGAAAGCCAGTGCAACTACCATTTCCTGCTTAGATGATTGGTTTGTATCTGGCCAAGGTCAAAATGACTTGGACGTGTCTTGAACATTACAAACTGGTTTTATTCATCCTGCAGAAACAAGAGCTTCTCCACTCCATCAGGTATTTGTACACATTGATATGGAAAGGCAGCAAAATAAAAATGCTTTTGTCTGGTGCCATGAACTTCTGCTTGCCATAGGGTACTGACAGAATAGCATCCACAGCATTTACAGGGCCAAAGCTTAAACAGAGCTTGTCAAACAAGGAAAGTTCTCTACTGCTTATTTACCATTGCACATCAAAATGGCTTAAACTGTTGTGCAAGAGGGTGTTTTGGTGTATTTAATGCAAAGATGGCTGCAATTTACAAGGACTAGTCAGAGTAACCATACTTTGGTGCCTGACTACAATTTATTTTTCAATAGGAGATTAAGGTGGAGTTAGATACCCCAACACCTTATAAGAACCATGATCAGATTCTACTTAAAAATTTGAAACATGACTGTAAAGTCCTCTGACAAAAACATTGATGTGGCTAAAACAGGTAGCAGTACTTTTAAAACAGAAACCAGTCTTAGTCATAGGTTTAATACTACAGTCAGCATACAAAACCTCTTAAATAGTGTGTAAACTTGCACATACCCAGAATACGACTACTTTCCTTGAACTGAATGTGCTACATACACAAGAGCAACACAAAACCAATATACAGGATGCATTCTTTCCAGTAGTATTTGTCTTCTATTCTTTTCCACAGCCACAAAACATAGTTACCCATCAGTTGAAAACAATTTCTGCAACAGTGGCCTACTGCAAATCATCTTTTCTCTGTCATTAAATAAAGTATAGGTACAGAATACATATTACAGGATGTTCTAGGCCAGTAAAACATGTCTCTCGTGCTGAGTTAGTACATTAGATTATGAGCTGCCTTGATATATATCACCAAAATGCTTTTCTGAGAATCTACATTTTTAATATTTTCCATAAATGAACAATATGAAAAAAGCATTTTAGAATCCTGTTGAGAATTCAGTTTTCTTCCTACACAAAATTTAAGTTAGAAAAAAAAAAAGGGAAACATTTTTTAGCAAACAAAAAACTGATGCATTTGGAAAATGGAAGTCCAAACACAGCAGCAAGTCCTTTATTGTGGGGTCTTAGAAAATAGCGATGATTGTTCGAAACCCTACTGTGCCCTTCAGATAGATGTCTGAACTGCTTATTTTAGGATAGGAGTCTAAGCAGCTTCTAGCAGAAAAGGAAAAGAGAGAGAGAGATTACTGTTGCCACAGAGCCTGGCAGATACTAAAATCTCAGCTGGATCCCTCTTCATGTTATTCAGAAGGGCTGGGCATAGCATTTGAGTCATTTGGCATCTTGAAGTTGGAGGTCAGGTGGGCTGCAATGCATTTACTTGATGCTCCGGCTATTTTGGCTTTGTGTGAAGAGGAGCAGCATGGGACCTGCATACAGAGCATGGGATTATGTTGCTCACAACCTGGCGTGCATCTGAATGCCAGTATGGGGAAGAAACTGCTATCTTGCTGTTACAGATGCAGGGAATTTTTTTCTGTGATGACAAAAGGCACAAAAGGCAAAATTGTGAGATTTTTTTTTCACATTTGACTTACAGCTGAAACTTTCTGCTGTATGCTGGCAAATACTGCAATGGATCTTCAATTTTTTATATTCGTTTTAGGGCAGTAGGTCAGACAGAAAAGAAAACATTGGTGACAAGTATTAGTTATGTATTATTTAATAATAACTTAATCTGGTAGTCCAGAAAAGAAAATGAAAAACCATTGATGCTGTGATTTGAATCCATTCTGTATCAGTTTCAAACCCACGATTAGCTTTTGTTGCCATATACTAGAAATATGTAAATCGCCATTTTGCATAAACTCTTGAATCAGCTGCTTTTCTATATTAAAATGCAGTCATAAACATTGTGCATGTCACATTACTGTAAAAAATACACAGTGAAAACATTTGGGCAAACATATTTTCTTTGAATATTTTGGTATAAAGTCTTCCCATTGAGCATCCAGTTTTTGTTATCTCTCTTTGGAGATATTTTTTTTTAATGAAATTTTTTTATTGTGCTTTAATGAAAGCTCCAGGCATAAGCATAAGAAAAAGAATCATAAAAGTTATCCACAGTCATGGTATTCAGTCCTGATCAGGTGCTGCATTACCAAAGGATACAGTTTATTAATGACTGTTATCCAAAGAAAAGCAGTATCTAATCTCATGAAATAGCTAAAGCTGCCATAATGAACAACTGGGAATTAGAAACAATACATGCTGTAGGGAATGAGAGCTACCCTTGATTCTAAAAGATAGCCATGAGAAAAATGGCTCTTTAAAAAGATGCTATGCACTATGCAAATGCCTGGGCTGGATGATCCTACACATACCTTTGAAAAAGTTCCCGTTTCAAAAGTTTCCAACTCAGAGAGTGATTTTGCGCTAAAAACTCATTGCCCGCTCCAAACTGGGAGGCAGCTCCTAGCCCAAAACAGAGAAAATGGAAGATAACAAATCTCTGTAACAATAAAGCCATCAGTTACTCCCCGCATAGCTCAGTGAGCAAACACTGGAGCACACAGACCTCAGAAAATGAAATACTCTTGAATTTTCCAACTAGTTTAAGCTCATCCAGCTTTTGTCTCTGCAAGAAATCATGCTGGCTCTCCTTGTCTAGTGTTCACTCCTTTTTTACATGTTGTAGGCTTTTTGTCCATTAGCAGTAAAGGACATACTACCCTTCCCACCTTGAAGACAGAAATGAATTTAAAATGGACTAGCTCTGAATAGTTCTCTTTCAAGGGTGTAGGCAAGGAGATAAAGATACATTGCAGGACTAGGCACACCAGAAGTTCCCTCTTTGTCGTATTAATTCTGGCTTCTTCATTGATCTTGGGTAACTCGTAGAACTTCTGCCCCTTAAACTCCTACATCAGTAAAATGTGATTTATCTACTTGTCTTTCTCAAGATTTGTAACAAGCATGAGCTGAGACTCGCTCCTGCAAGCACTTGTGCAAATTACTTTGCTTTCCAGTAAGCAGTTGCACGAGCAGTTTTGCCTAGGAAGACATTAAGCACCAACAGATCTCATGGTATCTCAGGATCAGGCTTTTAAACTGCTGAGTGCGTTCAGCGTTAAGGATAGCAGCTAAGCACTAAATATTTCCAAAGGATCTGAAATCTGCAATGAGTCATTCCTGTGTTCATGTTTAAAGGAATGCTTCTCTAATTCCTTATGTGTTCCACAGAAAAGAATCAAAAAGCCATAAAGATGAAAATGGACAAAAGCAAGAATCATAAAAAGAAGCAAAGGGACTCCAAGGAGGTGAGTGCTCCTGCAGCAGCCTTCGCTACCATGTGTGTCTTCTTGCTTTCAGGTCCCAGTCTGTGGTGGAAGCTGGCACGCTGAAACATGAAGACCAAGGGGAAAGCGAGAACACCCAACCGCTGCTGGCTCTGGACTGAGCTCCCACGCGCCCAACACACACAGATACATCCAGAGACTTCCACCATACCAGAAACCCACAGAGCACACCACACACACGCACGTGTTTTGCTTGAGAACAAGTCCTTCATGTTTCCTGAGCAAGTAACAACTGTCACCAGCCATCTGTCTGTGCAGCCGACGCTGAACAAAAACTGAGGAATTTCCATCGATGCAGGAGTCTGTCCATATACAAAGAATTTCTTTCCTTTTTTTTTTTTTTGACTGATGACATTAAAATATTGGAACTGATGGAACTGCATTCTCTGTTTAAAGAAACCAGGGTGTGTCAGTAGAAGCTTTCCAGAAGCCTCCAGCAAGGATGCTTAGTTTTATAGAAGCGAAGGTTAAATGCGTTCTAAAGAGAAACATCTCAAATGTAATCTTTGCACTGTAATTAGCAGTTTATCATAGCTCAGAGGGCAGAAATAGCAGCATCTAGTGCTCAAGTCTTACAGAAGGATTTTGCACTGAAAAAAAGAAAAAAAACATCAGTGCCAGCATAATGCTATTCATGACCGTGATTGCCTCATCCATGCTGCTTATATGGGGTCACTTATTTCAGTACCTAGCAAAAATTATTCTTAACTTTGGAAGCCCTTATGAAACTGTCATCTAAGTGGAATGAGCTGTGTGGGCAGCAGACGCATACAATTTGAAATCCAATTATTTAATTTTAACGATGTGTTTTTTCCACAGGCAGCTTGGAAGCCTACTAGAAGTGTGTGTGTGCGTGTGCCCGGTGCGAAGGAGAGGTGCTAGGGAGACCCCTTGGACACATTCACCAGTGATTAATGGTTCGATCCAGATTGTTTCACTTACGTCATAACTACAAATCAAAGCTCTGCAGAGCCATTTACCCCCTTCCCTCCTGCAGGCAGGGAAAGGTGTAGCCAGAAGGGTCTGCTGCTTGAAGATGCGGGCCATGGTTAAATTGAAAAAGGAAAACTAAGAATTAATTATTCAGTACAAGCTTCTGCTAGAAGGAAATGTGGAAGAATAGAAGAACTGAAATGCCAAAGATCAGTTTGTTATTTCTCTGTTTGCTCTAGCTGCAAAAAGAGTCTCATCCCTTCACTGAAATGGAAACAGATTAAAAAAATAAAAGAAAAATTGTTATCAAATTTTATGTGCAGTGACTTTATTTCCTACAGCTGTTACAACCACTGTACACACCTCTAGTCTTCAATTTAACTGCCATATATTGACAATTTACTAGAACAAGCTGTTGGCAACAACATATCAAAGGTAGCAGTGTAAACAGTATATATAAAACGAGATGATACTGGGCACGTGAGTTTTCATTGCGCCTCTGGAACATCCACTGAATTGATGCGATACACTGAAGTGACACCATGGTTCAGCTGGACATGGTCAGCCCTAACAGATGGAGTAACAAAATACTGCCTTTACCTACAACATAATTTTATGCCCGCAGAAGGCAGGACGGACGTCCTACCAGATCCTACCAACACGTCTGGATTTCCCTGCTAGTATTTGTACAGAATAGCTGCATTCAGACTAACCTTCTTCTGCAGCAGCATGTCAGTGATACAAAGCCTGGCCTCCATGACAGAGAGCGAGTCTTTAAGGCAGTGGGTGGTCCCAGCAAAGCAATATAGGAGTCAGAAAAAGAAGCAGAATCTTACAGGAACATTAAACCAGTAAGAGGACTAAGCCCATTTATCTTCGGTATTTCTTCCATTCCCCGTCCCCTGGCATTACCACCTATTAGAGAAAACTAGGATGTCAACTCCTGGTAACAGGACACAGCTCCCTTTGCTTCCTTGGGCTCGTGAAGACATACAGACGTTTGGATTTGTCATAGAGAACTTGCTTAAACCAGAAAAGTAAAAAACCAAACAGACAAAAAAAGACAGATATCAGCTATCATGCTGCAGCATTAATGAAGAAATACTTTGGTTTATGATTTTTACCTCCACTGCCGTTGAATCTTTGTGGTGAGCTGTTACAATCACTGCTCATTCAAGCGGGACTTGTTCTGCCCAAGAAGTGCACATATCACTGAAATCTAGTCCTTGAAGACTAAACGTAGCAGAGGATTAGAATTATTTATTTTCTTTAGTTGTGACATGAATAAATACATATGATGCCTTGTATATAGCTGTATGACGCCCGTATTTAACTGCAGGTTCTTACACAGACTCTGTGCTTGCAAGCAAGGTAACCACAGGCAGGGAGGAATCCAGCTCCTAACATTGTGACAAGTACATACTGCCTTACAAACAGGAGACTATACTGCCTTTCTCTGTCATTTCCCTCTGCAAATAAATCTGAAGAAAAAATATTTAAATTTCAATGGCTTTCCAGTTAAAAACATTTCCATTGATTTCTTCCATTGGCATTTCCAGTATTGAAAAGCTTTTTCAAGATGAAATACCAGTTGGCAAACAGGAATACCTAAAAAAATATACCACTTATTCACTGCATAATTTCTGTAGTTTGCTATACATATCCTCCCCATGTATATAGCTAATCCAACAACTGTAGCTAACAAAAAGATATGCCCTCAGCTCCCTGATAGGTAGGCATAGCATAGATTCACTTCAGTGTTGCAGGAGCCATTCATAACACACCTTGTCATGTTCAAGGCACCTAGAGTGTAAATGGTCAATATGTCACTATACAATTCAATAAACCGTGCCCCTCTGGCACACACGCATTTCGGGTAGATTACTTTTATCTATTTGCCAATTTTATCTATTTGCCAGTCGGAAGATACAAAGTACGAGACTTCAAAGGAACAATGAGAAAATCTGAAGGACGGCATGGATTTTTATAAATAAAGCTCCAAAGCTTTTACCACTCCTTTAGTATTTACTCTGACCCATAGAAACTAAAATGCAACATTAATAAAAATATTCCTAAATCACAAATTTTGGTTTAAACAGTCTTTGATTCCTTCTTTACAAATTATGTCTTTATTTTAGAGAATTACAAAATACTTTATAATTTGTACTGCTTGATCGCTTTACAGAGATACAAAGTACAGCTTCTGACTAAACAGCTACCAGGAGATTTCAAAAACTTTTCATTATGACCCCCCACAATAACGAGTACCTTATTTCCAGTTTTGCACATGATTCACCTAAAGATCTCCAAAAGTATTTTTGTATTTTCTTAAGTGTGAAACTTCTAACTATTTTCAGTTTTCATGATGATTAACTGAGAACTGTTACTTTCTTGTGTATTGCGTATAGCCTCAGTGTTATTTTTGATACGGGCAATACATTAAAGCTCAATTATCATAGCTGTCTAAAACTGACTCTTGATCAGAGAGGGTTTATCAGTTTAATAGTCAAAAAGGAAATTAAAGTGCACACCTCCAGAAACTGATTACACTAATTCATGGTGCGATCACCATGTGTTACATGGCATTACAAGATTGAATTACCTAGCAAAACAGAAAATCTGAAAAGCATTTATGGGAATACAAAGCTCTTATCTGTATTTTGCTTCAGCAAACGTGGTGTTCTGGTCATGTTACTTAGGTACCATGACGTGGTCTCTGCAGTACAAAACCACCAAGCATCGAACAAGTAAGATGACTGTTCAGTGTCATTCGGACAACAAAGCCAAAGTTGTGGAGACTAGGGGACCTCAGTGTCTCGTGGCCTGGTGTTTGCCTCTCAACCCTCGGTAACAATGCCAAGCCCTGAGCATCCTAGCACACCTATCCACACCCAGATGTTTTGCAGGCGAGTAGGCAACAGCCAGCCATAAACTTCATCCGTGCAACCTCAGGTCTTTCTTTCCTGTTAGTGTTCTTAGAAGTGAACAGAGGAGGGTCTTGTACCCTCCATCTCCCATTAAACAGCACAGACCCAAAAGACTGGCCAACTGTTTAAACACCCAGCCAACTTGCTTTCTTGAAAATCGGCCTTTTTATCATACAGTAAATTCTGCATGGCAAATACAGAGCATACTGTAAACAGTACTGAGATAAGAATACTTCGGCATTGTGTCATACATTTCAAGACCAGGAAAACACTATTAGATCAACTAAAGGAGCATTCTAGCACTCTGCAGGATGCTGGCAGCAGAAGTTAATACAGGCTAATAGCCTGAAGCTCTTTGTCTGCTCTGTCTTCTGGCAGGAAACTGAGTTAGACCTTGTCCTTCTGCCCAAAGCACAACAAATCCTTCATTTTTCTTTTTTTTTCTGCTGAATGACCACCCAAGGGCAGCCTAGAAGGAGCCCCTGGAAAGAGGTGCCCCAGACTCTTGCTGAGTAGAAAATGGATATCACAACACAAGCTTTTGTAATGATAGGAGAAACAGCAGTTCACCACATAATCTTCAGTACTGCCAACCACTATAAGATCTGAGCCTACAGATGTCACTTTTGCTCAACTTCTTCCACAATCACATTATCAAAGTGAAGGTTGCCTGCTAACTAAGAGAACTATTGTGTTTTAGAAGAACAAAGCTTCACTAAGCAGCTGATTATGCAAGTTTCTGATTGCATTTTCAGGGAGGCAAGGAAGGCCACACTTGGCAAAAATGAAATCTGTTCATATATAGTGTTTTCTTTCTGCTGATAGCTAGAAATGCATTTATATATATTGTTTTTTTTTAAAAATAGTGGTTGGTTAAAGAAGATTTGTTCATAATTACGCTAGAAAAATACAGTTACTCAGGTAGAAAAAAAATACAAAACACTTATAACCCATTCACATTATCTACAGTTGATAACATAGGGACTTGTTCTATGCCTAAAGCAGCTAACATTACACCTGCATACTGATTTTCAAAGTTGGTTGTGTGCATATATTTACAAAAAATCTCACATATTGCTTCCCTGACAAAAACCTGGGAAGTATTTCCTGAATGCAGAATCACAAATCTTGTGCCTGACCCTGGCTGGCCAGGTGACTGATTGACTTTTTGTACGTATAATATAGACATGACAAAAACATCTGCACATTCCTCAGTTTGAGAATCCAGACCTACTGCTCTTTGGCTGACAAGATTTGTATTTTCAAACTTGCAGCTGGAAAAACAATACATATCAGTGCTGTATCAGTATGAAACAAAACACGGCGCTTTTTTTCTTTTTTTTTTTTTTTTTAAATGAAGTCCTCTGTGATTGTAGAGTCTCATCTTTGTCTCTCCTAACCATTAAAATACTAGTATTCTTTGTATGCTGGATAAATTAATCCTATTGGCATACTCCAAAGGGGTTAAAGCTCCTCTTTTCCCCACATCAGAAGGAACCCCTTAAATAGCAGGAAGGGTTCGTCTCTGTTGTGCTGTTAACTCAGGGTGC